GCTTAGTGATTTGGAGACCATAGATGAGAAGAGAAGAAGCTGACTTAAATCTAAGCTGGTAGATATTGCCAATCAATTTTGCATATCACCATATCAATAGTCAAAGATCGAGACTAAGGAGCCTTCACTGGTGCTAAGAAAGCTCCGCAAGAATAATAAAATCATTATAATTAGATCTGATAAGGGATCTGATTTTATTTTAATCAACAGAAATGACTGCTTACATAAAATGCTGAGGATTTTGGGCGAATTGTCAAGATTTACAGTTAATATATTCAAAAGCGATACGACAACTTCAATTAAGGACAACGTGAGAAACGATGTCAGAAAAATTTTGAAGAAACATTTGATTGATGATACGACGTGTAATGACCTTAGACCAAGAGGTTCATGGCTACCCTTATGTAAGGGCTTCCAAAAATCCACATTTTATCCATGATAAACTCACCTTATCGTTAGTTGGTTCGTTAGTTAGTGGACGAACTGGAACCCATCGGAAAAAGGTTTGCAAGGTACAACTAGAAGGATACATTCCAATTCTCTCAGCAGCGAGATAGGTAGAATATCATAGATAAATTCATGGTATCATTTGATGCTTCTCCATTATTTGTGAACTTATAAGTGGATGATACGGTGGACAATCTGTCAACAGTCTGATTAACTCCTATTACCGAAAGTAGGACTCAAACAAGTACGCCTCCTTTGTGTTTAGTTCCAGTTTGATGATCAACTATACTGCAAACTGATAGAGTGGGTCTGGGTTCGTAACTAGTACCTATCCTAGCTGATATATTTTTGGTTCATTTCAAAGGAACATATCTGAACTCTGCGATCAAAGAAAAAAAATATTACCACAGGTATAAGTATGATATTGTGATTGCTTGTGATAATATGCTTCATGCGTCAAAGTTGTTCGACACCTTCAACCAAGTTCATCCAAATATTAATTTTACATTGGAATATGAAAGTGAGGAAAGATTCAATTTTTTTGAATCTGAGTATAAGACGGAAAAGTAACGGTACAGTTGAGAAAACTATCTCCAAGAAAGACATAGATTAGTCAGTACCTTCACTAAAATAGTTTCTGTCCTATCACATACAAGGGTGGTTTAGTCAAGACGCTCTTCACTAGAATAAGAACAGTGTACTCAAAAGACAGACTGGAAAAAGAATTCACTATCATTGAATGGATATTCTAAGAAATTTATAATGAAGAATGGAAAAGAATCGCTAGGCACATCAGATAGATATTTCTCAGTCCTCCAGGATAAGCAAAAAACAAGAAGTGCAATGTTTATTATGATTTGCAGAAGCTCTTGTCATTAAACATTTCTAACGTGACCTTTGTATTGAGAACAAGATTGTAGTGAACCTTTGTGTACCCTAGTAACTGTATGTGATTTCTACATAAGTCTGTGTATAGTTTTCCTTTTTTTGGTTGCATCATCTCTTTAATCACCCAGCTTGGTAGTGTTCCAGTTCCTTCATGTAATTACGTAACCTGCCAACCCTTTAACAGCCCCTTCTTTAACGCTCCTATCTGTTTATTGTCCCCCCTTTCCAGAACTCTAGATGCTTCTGTCACATCAGATATAAATTGCCATTGATTTTGACTCAGTTTTGTGACAATTAATTCTGTATTTTCTCAACTCACTACCTTATTGTCCATACTGGATTTCGAATTTCCATTTTCCTGTACTTATTAAGATTATGTTATGTCATTATTACTACTAATATTGCTTTTCACTTGTGGGCTGTTTGCCTCTGATGAAAGGCTTCATTTCATTCATTTCATATATATGTATACATATTAACCAATAAGTCAATCCATGATTCCATTGAATAATGGTTCAAGATGGTAAGTTACAGACTTCAGAAACATTTATTTATGGTATTAGCTTGGTTCTTCATATAATTCTGGGAGATATACCATTGGGAAACGTTAAAGTGAAACGAAATGTTTATCATTAGATCTTCAGATGACTTCATTGTATGATAAAAAATATCTGAGAAGTGGTGGCTTGCATCAGAATCAACCTACTGGCCCATCTAAGAAGGTTATTAGTGGAAACTTTTCAGAGTCTTCGGGAAGTAAGGTTTTGAGTGAAAGTACAGCAGTCACATCTAATAAAAGCATGTTGAAAGTAATCTCAAAGTTTTCCTTTTGATCCAAATCCACAATTTTTACTGAAGGTGTTTCAAAGCTATGAACTTCGAAAATCAATCCTACGTACACAATCTGTGAAAAACTATTGTAGATTATTACCAAACATTCACATAAACTGATTTCCATCAGAGTTGAAATTATAAGAAAGTTGAAACAAAACTTTTTAAATATTACGGCTGATATTTAATAATAAAGTATCAAAATGTAGTATTAAGACAAAATTTCTACGGTGTCTGCGTGAACAGCCTGTATGCTGATGGATTACAGTGAAACAAATCTTTTCAATGTCTATGAAATATGCTGCTGATTTAATTGAATTGTTGTAGATCTATCACACGTATACGCAGTGCTTCCTGAACTTATCTAGGTGACCTTAACATTGAATGACCGTTTTGCATATTTTAGACTGACCTCAACCGTAATGCACCCTTGTAGATTCAGCTCTGACAGACGAAATGTTCAAATCTCCCAGAAGAGTGAAATAGAAGTCTGGTCCTCACATCAACCCAGTCTAGCTAGCAAACACCGCTGGTCGGATCAAATGGACAATAACTACTCAGTTTTCATTTTTCTGAACCTGATGACGCTTCCTCATTTTGAGCAGATCACAATGTGATGCGAATATTTTGGTTCTTTTGGTAACCACGGTCAAATTTCTCAACAAAGATCAACAAATGCCAATTGTTTAATGCCATAGATCAAAGTAAGGTTTACATCTGGTAGTAAAAAGATGAAGATTCTGAAGAATTTATTCACTTTGTATTACAAACGGCAATTACGCGAATATGTACTGAGTTTAGGGAAAATAATTAACATAAACGATTAACAGAAATGACTCAAATAAAGACTAAAATAGCGATTAGAGTTGCTCATTTTATCCGTAAACTACCTCTCTAGTCGAAGTAAAGAAATCTGTTTGGTTATTTGAATCGTCGCTATGATGGCCTCTGAAGTCCCTCAACTCTAAAGGTCACGCTAGCAACACTTGAGGTTCTTCATTTGGGCTAGAAAAGTTTTCTCATATAATAAAGGAAACCTAACCAACTATTTCAGTAGTTTTTAGGATAATTCCTAGTTACTCGTTTGCAAATCTCGAAGATATAAATCTAACATTCTTCAGTCGTTCATAGAAAAAAATAGAATGGTTACATTAGTCGCAACAACTTCAATAAAGATGTTTTTCTTGATCAAAAAACAGTGAGCTTTAGTTGTCGAACTAAACTCTGTTGAATGCAGCCAAGTTAGGTGTTTGTAGAATACATTGTCCTTGGTGAGGATAACACAATTAGGTGCCAAACAGCAATGAAACTTTATGTGGAAACCAAAGTATTTAGACAAAATGAGATTTGCTTAATATGACGAGTGACTTCATGATTGCATGAAAAGTTTTATGAAATAGGCTAGCACTGAGCTGTGACTCTTGATAACTTGGCGAACTACATTGCATAGTCAACTATTCCGTAAGTGGTTTGGACTTTCAGTCAGAAAGTTTCATACATTGATGTGTACCATACTCTGATCACGCATAGTTGGCTTATGATCTGTTCGTACACTGAAAGAAACTAAGCATCTGACTCTGAGGCTGATCACCACCTGATTGAATAGTAGTATTTGTTACAGGTGGCTAATACACTCAAAAAAACAATCCCTCTAACTGGTAGCGTTACAAGGGTATAATTGATAAGCCAGTTAAGGGTGAAAACTTTAGCGGGAAAATTACGTAATGGTTGAATCACTTTATTATCAACAAATGAAACTGTGGATAAAAACCGTTCACCTCCCAGCTTTCAAAAAGTAAGATAACCAGTTCAGCTGCGTCTGTTAATCCCTGTGACTGGGGTGCAAACAAAAGATGCAGATACACAATTTCCCAGACGAAGGGGCTAGTTGTTAACAATTTAAAGCTGGGGACATACTTCTGCATGTAAATAATTCGGTCACATATATTGAATATTGTGATGATGCACTCTTATGTGGTCTGGGGATTAGAAGTCGAAATCGTCATCCGAATCATAATTAAAGTTACCGTATTGTTGCGAGAAACATATTTGAGAAAATTGTGAGGTAAAATGTAATTCAGTTATTCATATCACTAATCAAGACTAAACTAATAAAACACATCAAGGTATCCCGTTTATTAGGAAAATAATTTTATTTTGTATGAGAATCTTATTTTTTGGTGAGCATTTTCAATAGTTAATCATGCCTCTTGAAATTAGTAAGCGACTGAATCAATATTAAATAAACTGAAATCTAGTGCAGTTATACCTGTCTGACACAGGCTGTCAGAAAAGCTTTTAATGGTACAGTAAATTGTAAATTAAGCCTGGTATGCTTTAAATGCTGATCATAAATTCTCAGTAACTATCATCCAAACAAACTGTAGGATCTCATTGGTACTTTTATTCTTTGCCTCTTTTATTCTTTCAAAGTACTAGTAATTATAAGCAGATGTTTTGTTTCTTTTCCATAAAATACACCATACTTCAACTGTCACACTGATTAAAAAATGGACTGCTGTATTCCGGACTGCTTTACTAAATTAAAACAGTAAACCACAGTTCATTGTCCAAGCAACAGAATTAGATTATGTTCTCACCTAGACTGAATGAGCATTTGATAAACAAAGTAACATTTGCTCAAATTTTCAGGCATTTTTATACTAACCAACTAAAATAAATTTTAAAAATAGCTGACTGTACAGTGTTTAAACAAGTGATATCTATTAAGTTCAACCGAATACGAATACCTGACTACCACAACAACCACTACGGCTTTCACAGCTCCTATTGGCTAGTTATACCCACCTATGCAAATATGTCACTTATTGGAACCAATTATTTTGCAGAATTCTTTTATATATTTTTATATTTTCTCAGTGTCTAAATGACGAACGAGAAATGGAAATTCATACTTCTTGTTACTATATCATGGCGATTAGACGCTTACAATGTATAGAATGTACCTTTTTACAGTTCTGCATTCTAATTATTTGTTTCATTTACGGTGAAATTCTTCATCCGTATGTCTCACTGAAAGCATGGACATTGCCCGAAATGAAGTAACATATCGTTTTGTTTATGCAGTGATTTCAGACCAAAAGAAGATGAAGTGAGACTTTTACTTCTTGCTGATCCCCATGTTGAAGGGTACCATTCAAGTTTGTACTTTTTCAGTGACATATTACAAGCTGATAGTGATGAGTAAGTCGACAACTACTTGCGGTATTCTAGTTATCTACGCTTCCATTTTGTAAAAGCTGTTCAGTATGCTAATCCAAACGGTGTTGTATTTCTTGGAGATCTCCTCGACACAGGGGAGACAGCATCGGATTCAGAATTTATGCTTGTCGTATCACGCTTCTATGAAATATTTCTTTCTGAAACGGATTTATTTGTAGGCAGATGTTCCTTGAATAGATTATCCTTTAGGTTATTCTCGTGCCTGGAGACAACGATGTCGGTGGTGAAGGTGTATCTGTAACAGAAGCAAAGCTGAATCGTTTCTACACTAAATTACCGGTCAAATTAAAGAAGAATAAGTTTAAATTTGTCAGTTTTTACTCAGTAAGCATAGATATTTCCTACTAATTTTGCCTCAGGATAACATGCAGTCCGAAGCAAAAGCAGATTTTCAAAATGAAAAGTCTTCTAGTGAAATCACTGTGTTTATCAGTCATTTTCCAGTTGTCTCTAAATATCATACTTGGTTTCCTATGAATTTACTTCAGTCCAATGCTTCTATGAGTATCCATGGTCATCTTCACAGAGTAAGTTATTATATTTGTCAAATCATCTTTTATAATTATATCAATGGATGCTGTGACTATTGAATGACTCCAAGTAAGGTGAAAATTTCGAGTACTTCAATAATAATAGTAATGATGATAATGATAGCTTTATTGCAAACAAGACTTGTAGTACATTATGGAATTCTCAGCATGTAATAGTTCAGCAAATTCATTTTTTGTACAATATCTTTAAGGGAAATAATCACTGCGTTTGAACAGTGTGAATAATTACAGCTAATTTGAGCCTTTTCTTCAAGATTAGGCTATTCGATTTACACCTGTATGGCAATGTGATATACACATTTTCCCTAGGGATAGAAGAGTAATTAGTCGGTGTCAGTGTTATCCCGATTTTGCATCTGTTGACAGATTTTAATGGATATTTATTTTGCACCAATGTATCCGTCAGGGATTTCGCTTCCATGTCTTTTATGTCATCTGTGCAAATACAATGAACTCTATCAAATAAACACATGACTAAGCCACGCTTATATTGTACTGGCGAGTAACTGTGGCAGCTAAGGTATTGTCCTGTCCAAGACAGCTCCTCTGAAAGAACCTGATTAGACCATACCCTCTTCAACCAATCGCTATGTTTTAAAATGGTAGTTTGTCATCCACTTCTTAAGTCAGGCTAATGTGGCTTTGTAAAGTATACACTTTATCTAATAAGCACACTACCTCCTCACGTTTTCCTCAAATAAGAATGTCATCCACATATCTCTTCTAAAACCAAGCTTTTCTAATCAGTTCATTGGCTAACACTTTGACATATGATATATACACATCAGTCAGCAGGGGACCGAAAGGACTACACGATCAATCTGTTGGAAATATTTGCCCTCTAACCGGAACTGGAGTTTATCAGTACATAGTAATAATAAGTCGTTGAGGGTTGTAACGAGGATGGGGAGTCAAAGATTTCTGGAAGAAATATAGTCACGAAGAATATCAATTTTCCTGGTCAGTTGTACATTAGTAAATAAAAAATTCACATCAAAAGAATACATAGTCCCATTCCTGATATCCATATCACTTAATTGGTCAACAAGTTCAAATATATCTCTCAAGGAAAACTTATAAGCCTAGCTTCTAATAGGATCCAAGAGTTTAGCCAGATACTTTGGTAGTTTATATGTGGATGACCGACACCTAGACAATATTAGACGGATTATTAAATTATTGGCTTTATGTGTTTTAGGAAGTCCGCATAGATATGAGTCATCAGATCACATGGGTTTCAGGTAGCTAAAATCCTTTTTGTTAATAGCATTTATGTTGAGGAGTTTCAGTAGGATAGAATTTACTCTTCCTTCCAATTTACGTATTCCCTGAGCGTGAATGTCTGCCATAAATTTGTTTTTACCTCTGAGGACGGATAACATTTTACATTTATAATCCGACTTATTCATAATAACAATTCCTGATCCTTTATCAGGCTTAAGCATGAGAATTTCAGGATCATTTCGCAGTGTTTTTAATGCTTTGAAATGCTGAGGTGTTAAGATACTTCCGTGTCTCAGACAAGAATTGTGGAGTCGGTGAGCAATATCCACTAACTTAGGTTTGAGTCAACTTTAATTATCTGGGGAATTTGGAACAAGTGAGCTTAGCTGATTATAAAGATTTTCAAACTGGAGATCGGTCACTAGATTAGACATTTGTGCTAGAGGGATAAAAAATAAAATCCAGGCGAAAGTGCCTCCTTCTGTTGAACAGACAGCTGAACCGAAGGTAAATTAGTCCTGAATTTGTCAGGATTGACCGGAAAGGGATTTACATAGACAATAACTACAAACCCAAACAGCATTTGAATGAGTGTATCACATCCTATTGTGTATATCAATTTACATGTAAGTGTGAACACATACATAGGAAGGAGCAATGGTGACATGCAGTTAAGGGTGGTTGAACATGTGCTCCAGAAAAAAACGACCTCTAACAGTTTAACAGGTGCAGGTGATAAACTTCCTTCCTCACCAATGGTAAAATACATATTAGAAAGTCGTCATAAGATTGGTATGGAGACAGACAATACTGTACTGTATAGATATGGTCAAGGACTAATACTCAGATTTATCGGATAACTTGCTATCCATAAATTCAAACCCCTTATATGTATTCAGGAACAACCTGTACTTACACTAAACCTACCCTGGTGGTATTCAGTTCAACTCTTTATAATATTGGTGGTGGTGATTTGACCTTTCATTATTTTTCTCCTCTCTTGCTTTTGTTCTGCCCCTGTTATATATCTTAATTATAATTCCATTTGCTTAATTAATCCTTACTTAGTTTTATATAAATTATTCGACAAGTTCATGTGTGATCACATTGTTCGAAATATATAACGCTAATACATCACATGTTTCACATAATGTCCGTCTTCTGATTACGTTGTTCGAAAAGAAATATGCTTCATCTCTATGCATTTATAAGCTCATTTGTTACCGGCGTATAGTTTATTATTTGTTCCCTTGTTAGCTTGGAAAACGGCAGTTTTCAACCATTTTAAACGTGTGCAAGAGTACTTGACGCGTTTAAAAGGCACATTTAAAAGATTAAAATAAAATGAAAGGCACGAATTTGCCGAAATAAATTCGTTGGAAAATTTTCGGTAGCCCAGTTTAGTCAAGTCGCTGCTTGGTTAATTATTATCTTCTCCTGTATATTGCAATGAATGTTTGTCAGCTCCATGTTACAAGGATATTTCATGCTATGGCCAGTAGAAGAATAATTTCTCAAAAATATATTTTTGTGATTTTATTCAGCGAATTATGCGCTGACAATGACTTTGATATAAACAAAGGTTCGAGAAGTTTTCCAGTTGACGCACATACTTTTCAAAGTGTTGCTTCATACCGAAAGATGTGTAGTCTGCTCACTTTGTATCTTGTTTCTGGTAACCTTCGCTAACAGTAACAGACGAGAGACCAATAGGCTTAAACTTGCTGATGCCAACCCACGTGGAAATACGCAGATGACCTTTAATTAGCCAATGAGAGGCAGACGGATGAAATAATTTTAACTGACAACGGCAATTCGAAACTCTGTGAGCAGAACATTGGTCAAAATACTTCCATCATGGTTGAATCATGAAGCCAGATAAGAAACTATGTATCTTCTCAAGTATTTTTATAAAAAAAGGGCCCCACTGTCTAGAAGCGAGGTTTCATCAACAATTGGTAGTACTTTTGATAAAAGAATTAAAATGTTCTAAATTAGTCGAAAAACAGTATCTTTCGTTTGTGTCATTTGAGCAGATTAAAAAACCACATAAAACAGCCTTCATTATTTTTTCTAATTACTTAAGTGTAGTTTGTGTCCAATCTTTAGAAGATAAGATCGCTTCATAAGAGGCATTATATGCAATGCGTATTCGTTTCTGTTTCACAGACAAATGGACTTAAACACTCTAAACTTTAATTACAAAAATCAATGAAAATAATTAAAATACCAGGCAAGAAATGAAAGCCATCTAATAAAATAAAATACTGCTACATTGCGTCTTACTCAGTTCAAAGAAATTGCACTGAAGATAATGAGTGGCAAACTGTTGAAACTTCATCATCAATAGCTGTAGCTCACAATATGCCGCTTCCAGAACTATGTATAAATCAATACAGCTATTCGATATAATAAACACCATAGATTAGCAACAAATAGTTGGTTATATGAGTAAACACGAAGTTATAGTTCCATAATACATTATCAGTGCATGCATATAGACATCTCGATTCCGTGTATTGTAAAATAATTTATTTTTCTAATTCATAACGCCTGGATTTAGAGAATTTTGATGCTACTTAGAACGATAATCCATTGGGAGGGTGACAGTATGTCAGGATCGTTAAATATTATCACTGTTTTGAAGAAACGTACCCTGGTGAGCAATACCATTTAAGATATCCCTCAGGAACCTATAGGAGTCTGCAACGCAATCCTCTGACCAACAGTGATGCAGATATAGACCTATAAAAGAAAGTTCTTTTGGTAAGGCGTGACCCGTGAACTTAAGGAAATCGCGGTGAAGGATGTTGTTTTCACAATGTGAGCTGAATGGATTTGAAAATGACTTGTAGATTCATTTAGTCATGTTTTAAAAATTGTAGCATACCACTTAAAGGATGGCAACTTTCAGTCCTCCGCCTTAGAAAGAGTCAAGTAAGCGAAATTATAAACAACGACAAAGTAGGACAAAATATCTTTTGAATATTCAATTATTATTGGATACAAATAGTCTGTAGTGAAATCCATTTTCGAAAGTCACTAACACTTTTATTATGGCTTACAATAGTTCACTTCTTTCTTCTAATGACCAGAGTCAAGTAATTCATTGGAAAAACACCAAAGATTCGGAAAATTCGCATCCAAATATTTCATCGCTTCAAGCTGATGACTTCTTCAAACCGATTACACAACCGATGCACTTTAAGTTGACCGACAGTATTCACTATTTGAAATCTAGAAGTGAAGTGACATTTACAGAAACGCTGAAAGCATACGGTGAGCTGATATCCATTGGTGTACCATCGTGTACGTATCGTTCAGGTTTCCCCAACCTAAATGGCATTGGTTTACTACAAATATATCGGAATAAATCTGTTGTGTATACTGTACTGCCACTGCATAATCGTTACTGGACACTACTCTTGTACACTTTTTTACTTACAACACTCATAGGATTACAGTGTATTTCTTATAGTGCTTTTCTCTTCATCAAATCAAAATGTTGGCGAGACATTTACTTCTTGACAGCTTCCGCTTTACTTTTAATGGTTATTTATTATGAAGTTGCAAATTTTATTCAGGTCGGAAGATTATTTCAAAACAGTTTCTTTGAATGATAAAAAAGATGATGAAAATTGTGTGTAAGCACATAATTTATGCGTGATGTTAGAAACTTAAATGACGGTATCTTCGATTGACACTAAGATATTTATGTTCGTACTTTAATGCTCAGAACAAGATTTTTTATCATTTTATATTTCCTTCTCTTTTCGTACGCCTTTTATGATGTTGGGATAATCACTTCTTTACCTTTTTGATGAGAAATGTGACGTAGTAGATATTTGCAAGCCTTCATCTAATAGTATTCTATGTAACTTTCTCAGCTCAAAAATTTTTACAAGCATTCTTACACATTCCCTTAGTTCACTTTACATATTACAGAGTTCATTGGCCTTGTTATAAATTTGATTTTAGGTGTGTAGGCAAGATTACTTAACTGCACAACCTGAAATGATTTAACCTAATCGTAACACATGTATGTAATTAGCATATGATTTATGAATGTGTTAACTTTTCGAATACATATATATATAAACATTTATCTGCTTCATGAATACGCTTATCAGCTGAATCACATTTGAAATACAGTCAGCATAACGTATCGAAGAAAATGCGTCATAGTCCTACTTCATAATCACATCGCCGAGAAAAAATTTACTCTAGACAATTAAAGCGACTTCACATTTTCCTGAATGTATGATCATCCCGCTAGTCTAAATTTGGAGGTCGATGTAATGAAACATAATCATGTACGGTATTTAATTTCCGCTAACGCTCATATGATTTATTAGCTCTTTCGAAATATACAGCCTGAAAAAACAAAGAGATGAAGAATCGCAAAATCCTACTAGATAGCTTGCTTAGGTGATATCAACTCTTTTGCAAAAGTTGTGTTTATCCTGAGATATAGTATACTGATTTATTCCGAGCTAAACAAACTCCAGACAGACCACGAAAGAAGCCCATTGACAAACTCAAATTATCATGAAGTAATTCAGCAAACAGTATTTCAAACTCAATAACTGTATAGTTGTATTTATAGTAATGAGGAACAAGCAGTAAACATATCCACCTCATAATTTTTCCAAACGCCGAGTCTGATTTCAGTTAGGTTTTAATATAAGCAACAATTTCTGCTACAGAAGCTGTGGCATAGGCTGCAAACTGTTAATATAAACCATGTTCTGATTTTCTAAACACAGGAATAATACTGAAACTTACTTTTATAGCAAGCAAGTAAATCTATTCAGTGATAGGTCAACATTCGGTGGTCAAAATAGAATGTTCTAAGAGAAAACACTGAATAGTTCCTAGAGTTAGGAAGAGATTGTACAATTAAAATATGTAGCTGTTCCTGATGATGACTAATAGATAAAAAAAGGAATAATTCTAATCAATAAGCAAAGTATTATGAGAATTTTACCGGAAAATTGAAACTAACATATTCAGATGTAGAAAAGCAAAATACAATAATAACGATGACAGTGGTTGGTCAATAAGACTAAGGTGAATACGGAAGCAGTGGAAAAATTCAAAGAAAGATCATAACCATGCCATAATAAGAGAATGAATGTGACCCTACTTCACTCAAACGCTGCGCTGTAATTGTCGGGTTCGCAATGCATCTTCTATACATAGATGACGAATTTACACCCTTTTTGAATCATTCAATTTGACTGTGTATAAAATTTTGAAAGAGAACTAGTAAAGCGACATGACCAGAGTTGACTAAATGGTCCAAGATTGAACTATCGCTTGACCTGGGTTTTTCTTTGAACGGCTAAGCAAAAGAGTGTTCACAATAGCGTTTGTAAACAGTGCATTTCGTTTGACTCACATAACCAGTTCCATAACAGAAGGTAAACTGACAGACAAACACTGAAGTCACCCTATGCGTCAGTCTGTTCTTCAAGCCTCCTTGAATCAATCGTCGGCAATAGAAGGCCAGTCATGGGTAGGCAGCATGAAATATTTTCTTCACTGCCTCAAAATAGCAATTCTTTGGTGATTTTACCGAGTTGTCCTTCATGAATTCAATTTTTAATGAATATGATCTTCTTGAGGACAGTGTAAACTTGTTCTTGTTCCTGTTTTAGCTTCATATTTTTTGCAAAGAATCCTGGACGGTAGCTGTTCGGAAAAATTACATTCTGATAGCATTCCATCTCTTGCCTTATTTAGTCATCTGAGCAAATTCTTGTTGTTCTTAGGCAGACAATGAATTATGTTCTTTTTCGGACTCAGTACTGCGTAATTTAAAAAAAATTTAATTCCAAACAATTTTACTTTAACCCCTAATATTGACTATAGTTCATATTATTATGTTTTTTTAACCTCACGGTGATCAACTACATACTTAGCTTGTGTGTCATACTACGCAGTCTCCTTCTAGATCTAGAAAGGATTCTTCATTTAATCCTAGAATATTCGATTTCGATGACCAACTGCTGACTTAATGGCCAATTGACTTACTTGCTTCGTATTACTACAAATAAGATTATATATCTAAAGAAGATGGACTATCTAAACGGAAATTTATTCTACTGAATTACTTTGTGTTAATTCGAAACTCCAGTAACACGTCATGCAACTTCGACACGTTTTGTGGTGCATTAGTGAAATGCCTACGGTTTCTGTATGTCAAGAAGAATCTCATAAAGAAAAGTTACGACCTGCGTAAAAAATTCTCCAAAGCAATAATAAATGAATTTGTTTCCTTGAAAAAACTGTTGTACTAGACCTTATACCCATCTGTTTCCACCTTCAGTCACCAATAAATATTAAACTATTTATAAGACACTCGGTGGTTCAAAGTTGTTACCCAGGCAGCCAGTGACGTCCACCAACTCACCTAATAAGACAACAAGCCAGTTGCTACATATCATACCATTCTACTGAAATACTCATTCAGTCCAAATAATTGAGTACTGTATTGCTTCAGATCACTACTAACGAAACCACTTCAGTTTCTCGTGTTATTCTGCATACCGATGTAGACTCATATGGAATCAACCGTTTATCCTCATTTCCCATTTGAAGACAAATATGCATACCCGCATTTTCAAGCACATCTAACTCATGTGAGTGGTGTTCCACTCAATCCATAAATAACACTTTGGTCTAATCACGCCTAACCATTGATTACCATATGTCCTACGAGTCTCAGATCACTGTGTCAACTGGGTGTGGTTGAAACTGGAAATAGTAAGTTATTGGTTGTGTAAAAGGTTGCAATTCACGGAGAGTTTAGTTCCAAAACTCCATAGCCAATAAATTCCTAAATAACCTGTGAAATAGACGGTCAATAAATAAGAAGAACACAAATTTTTTGTTATCTCACAGTTGAACGTTCAGGAAAATCTAGTTTTCATTTTCAAAACACTGTAGGGTAGTATTAAACTCTTTCATCGTAGCGATAATTTGAAGAGTGATATTTTTCGAAATCAGTTTTCATTGTTTAAGTAAAAATGAGTACACAGCAGCTAGATGATTTATGTTGAAAGAAATTAATGAAACTGAGATCCAGCTAACACCCATGCTACCTTAAAAAGTATATGGAACAACAGTTCTGTACTAAGGATATCTACTTTCCATTTGCCTGTATCCATCAACAATGTACAAAAACTTTTTTCAACCCACAAAGAAATATCATTAAAGGTTATTTTATCAGCAATTCGCATCTGATTTTGATGTTTTGGTTTAAAAATATTTAAATGTATAACATTCTCAGCAGATCGCAGAAATATCAGCTTTTTTAATTTTCGTTAGTATAGTTCTGTCAGTTTGTAATCTACTGAATACTCATCGAAGTGTTCTTACTTGATTTGTGTGTACCCTTGTTGTACATCTAGCATCTTCTCATTTCACTGAGTTCAGCTTCCACTGAAATATAATGAAAATGATTTTTTCCTGTTAAAAATTATAAATTTGAATATTATTTCGCTTACACAATGGGTAGTGACATCAGCATTGAATTTTGAATATCATACAAGTTTAAGTTTATAAAGGTTACAAACTATATACTATCTATTCGCTGTGCAACGATAACTCTTCTCTATCCGCAGACAAATATATTCAAAGCTGTTCAAGTATGTGCTGGTGAATATCACGATTGTGTTAGACTTGAAAGACATGATGCATCCTAAATGAGAGAGAAAAACCATTTACAAAGGAAGCCAAAATTAAGTCACATGATAGAAACGATTTGACCTTTGACCCTAACACATCTGCTAGTAGTGTAAATGACCTCCGATTTCATTGTTTTAACATGTGGTACGATCCCTCAATAACTGTTTTGTCTACCTGATAATTTTACATATTACAGCAACGCCATTCCACTTCACAGTTCGATTCTAGAAAGTTGTCTGATAACGGTTTTATTCAGGCTTATTCCTCCATTACAGTTATACAGTCATTATCCTTGGTTACGGCATAAATATTTGCTGATTATTTTGGTTCACTTCTGGGAGGCTTGTTATTTGTGCTATTTTCGCTTATATATCTAATGGTCTTCATTACGGTACTTTTATTATATGTCACGTATTGATCAAATAGTATGACTTATTTCTCAACATTTGTTTGTCAGAAATGGTAGACGATAAAATAATTATCTTTCAAAGTGCTTAAATTCTTCTGTCGAAATGATGAAAGTCGATTTGAGGTAAATTTAACTGTTACCATAAGATCATCTACCTAACTTACATACATCAAAGTCTCAATCATACAAGTCAAAAACGCTTAGCATTATCCGCCGTAAACTTCTCCAAGAAGCTTCTCTGTTTTCTCTTCTACAATTTAAGCAGTTTCTACAAGTCACCCTAAAGAATTTAGACACATCATCAAAGTGAACAAAGTGATCTATCATCACTGACACTACTTTATGTAGATGAGCACAGCTTCTATCGAGGGAACGTGGTAATACAAAAAGAAAGCTCAAAAACTGCAAGAGAATCCTCGGAAGTCTGGTCTCAGTATTAAATGGCAGTCATAAGACACAGAATACGGAATGCTAAGAACTAGGAATCAGCCAAGGAAAATTAAAGTGAGGAATAAGGTCAGTAGCATAGATCACATGGTAAAAACGGTCATATTGGTGAAACTTTGATGAAAAAGAAAACGTCACTCTCACTCACTCTTAAGGTCAGGTCATATTCATACAACTTGAAAATACTTCATTTCTTTATGAAGTGAATGATGATGATGTCATGCAGCTTGATCACAAAATGTATAAGGACAGAATTCAAGACTCAAAGAATGTCACGCAGCAATCAGCTTCATCTTGATCAACAGTGATTGTAAATTATATTTTCACCAGCTCCATAATGATATTGAACACATCAGAAAAGGTTATTAATTCTCAGGGCTGAAGAGATCAAACGACATGATCTACATAGTCATGTAAAAGCGCAACACGCAAAGTTGACTTTGTTGACAACACACATACCCACGAAATATATACTGTAAAGCATATTGAATGGCCTTACTGCACCTGACATTTACAATGTACTTCATTAACTGCGAAATAGAGTGTATATTTG